CAATGAAAATAATTTTATGGTTGGAGGTCACCACAACATGGTGGCCACGCCCACTTGGTGGCCACACCCACTTGGCAGCCACACCCACTTGGCCACGCCCCTGGCACCTGGGGTCACCACAACATGGGGAACTGTATTATGGGGTCACGGCATTAAAAAGGTTGAGAACCACTGGTATAGGGTTTCCTGCCTGAGCAGGGGGTTGGACTAGATGACCTTCAAGGTCCCTTCCAACTTTACTACTACTACTACTACTACTACTACTACTACTACTACTATTATTATTATTATTATTATTATTATTATTATTATTATTATTATTATTATTATTATTATTATTAAACTATCTGGCATGGGGGACCCGTTTGGTAGAATGCACTATTGCTAGTATAGTTCTCAACTTCATCAAAACATCACAAGCCCTTCCCCCACAACAAGAAGGTATCCATGGAAGGGATTGAAATTTTTGTTATTATGGCCGGTTTCACAGTCAGCCAGATGTTTAGACTGGATTTGGCTTTTTTATCTGCCTATCGAGTCCCTCCCAAGGACCTGGGACAGGCAGATGCTGTTTGATGGTGTTAAAGATATTGTCACAGGATGTAAGTTGTTCCAAATAAAGCTGCTTTTGGCAATTGACTGATGGTGATTTTGTCAATGCCAGTGAGGTTCAAGTGGTACTCCAGATGTTTTGGGATTACACTCAAGGTGCCTATTACTATTGGTACTATCTTTGCTTTCTTTTATCACAGTTGTTCTACTTGTGTTTGCAGGTCTTTATATTTTGTGATTTTTCTCCAGCTCTTTTTCTTCTCTTCTGCTGTCTCCCGATACTGTAACATCCACTATCCAGACATTTTTGTCTTTCTTATCAATAATTGTTAACTCTCAGATGTTTTGTGGCAGGTGCTTATTTGTTTGAATTCTTAGTTTCTTCATTTTATATTATTTGTCTATTTTGTGGTCCCACAAGTTCTTGCTTGTGGGCAGATAGTATTTCTTGCAGATCTTCCAATACACCATTGTTGCTACTTAGTCATGCTAGTGTCTGTAGTCAGTTTGTGCGGTTTTCTTGCATCAGTTAACTACTGATCCACTGTTTCTTCTTCTTTGTAGAGCTCAAGCATTGGTTTACTTTTTTTACTCCATCTGAAAATTTGGGTTAGAGTTTTCTTGGAAATGGAATGAGAATGACAGATGTCCTGTGATATGTCATAAGAGATAGTCACAGGAAACACTAGCTTCAGTGAGGTAATCCTCCAATTATTT